AACTTTTCCCGGTCCATTGTTTTATATTTACCTAACTTCACCTATATATACATATATATATATATATATATATATATATATATATAGATATAAATATAGATATATATATTTATTTATTTATTTATTTACTTACTTATTTATATACGCAGAATGTGTTTAAGGCTTTCGGATTCTAACGGAAAGTGCGTGGAATATTTAAAAGCCCAACCACATAGGGCGCATTTTTGAATGCGAGGTCTTTCGCAATCCGAGCAATACGGATCTTGGCGCAAAGGCCTATTTAGGCGGGGAGACTTCGGAAGCGTTCGGCCCAGTGCCGGGCATTCAGCTAGCTTGTTGACTGCCGGAAGTTGCTCAACTTTCGCTCACGTTAGAACAGTTTATGAAAAGAATGAATCAAGAAATCCAAGGACTGTCTACCTTTCCGAAAACACGTTGAGTTTAGAATAAATAACAAAACTGGCCTAAAAAAAAAAGCATAACAATGTCCACCACAAACCCCAAAGAATGCCGCAGAAACAAATTTTGTGTGTAAAATTTGTTCCTAAAATCCACATAAAACAAGCCTTTTTCTGTTTTTTTTTTATAATCTAGGTTTTTAATTTTGGCCTTTTGGCATTTTTGGTTGGCAAGTCTATACTTGAATTGTTTAAGAAGTATAGTTAATTAGCGATTATAAGGTAGTTTTGGGTTTGAGATCTATTAAGACTTGGCAGAAATGGCACCGTCGGCAGTGGCCACTTTGTAACATATTAAGCGGCTGGACACAAACGTTTGTAAGATAAGAAAACAAACAAAAGGTGGACATTTTATATGTGTGCTGAACTTGTTCGTAATCTAAATACTTATCATTATTCGTAAGCTATTTTTTAGTATCAACAAAAATAAAATAAATTTAAATAAATTGAGAGGCACACTGCACAGCGCCAATCTGCTTCTGATTCTAAAAGAGCAGTACTATAAGAGGTGACAGATTTGATGCACACTTGACATAAAAGGCTTGGTTGGGAACGTTTTCGAAACTCGTGGCTATATATATTCGACAGATTACATTACAAGTAATTTTTTAGATTATGAAAAAAGTGCCCTAATAAGTCTCGAGAACTTGTTCATAAACGATTGAAACCAATCACTAATCAAATATGTCACAGACGAGGATAATCTCGAAACCTTGTAGTCTTTCCTCATTTATTTAGAATTTTATTTCGTTAATAATAAGCATGTCTGAACTTTCACAAAACAAAAGCGTAGTATCATCATTACGATAATTGACTTTCCGATATAGAACACAGTCATTCGGGAAGAGATGGAAGCTAGACACAATTGAGTTAGGTAAATCGCTCATACATATTAGAAACAGTAATTGTCCAAGCACGGATCCCTGTGAAATTCCGAAGGTTACGCTGTTACAGTTTGATTTAGGGTTGTTAGCAACAGTGAACTGGGTACGAGAAAAAAGCAAGGTACGTATCTAGGAGACAACAAGAGGGTTAATAGCAAGACAAGAAAACTTATTGATTAAGCGATTATGAGGAACCCTGTCCAAAGCCTTTGAAACATCAAGAAACAAGGCATCTCTTTGACTTTGTGAACCAACGTTAGTAAAAAGTTCATAAGTAAACACTTAAAGTGCCGTTTGGCACGAAAATTCTCTTCGAAAACCGCTCTGGTGACCGTAAAAAAGCTGTTTTCCTTTAAATGTGAAATAACGTGAGCAAATGACATTCTCAAGAAGTTCGGATGCAATGTAGGTTAATGAGATGGGACGGTAATTGGATGATAGCTTCCAATCGCCGTTTTGAGGAGTGGAACGTCCTTGCCCAGCTTCTAATCCAATGGTAAGCAACCTTGCTGCAATGACTGAGAAAATATCTACTGAAGACACTCATTGAATATAACTTTGATGTTACACAAAAACTATCGGCTTAGTATTATCAGAACCACATGATGACGCTAATTTAAATCCTTCTATGAGGAGAAAAATTTCATTGGCAGAAATGTCAAAGAAAGCTCTAGGTACGAAGTCAGCCAAGGGGAAATATTGCATATGGTTGATATTTTCACTGTTAAACACAGAAGATAAATAGTTATTTATTAGAGTAGATCAATGAAGGTTAGGAACAGCGGATCCATTTTCAATCTAAAGTCGTATCTAAACAGTACTATCTCTAGGTGTAACTATTTTCCAAACGTTTTGGGGATTAAGACGTAAAATTCTTGGTAGTTCTAAAGAGAATATATTTGTTTTGACGATCGGATACTTTTTGTATAACTTTTGAGGCCCGTGAAGTAACCGTTATAAACTGCATTAACGTTTCGCCGTTTCATTCTTAAGAAAAAAAGAAAAAAGGTTTCTTTTTGTTATTTAATGAACGAAAGGTTTTTATTGCGCCAGGGTTTATTATCATCGCTACGTACAATGAGAACAAAAACAAACTGCTCAGTAAGTGTTTAAGTTGTTTTTGAAAAATAGCCAGTTTTCTTCCACTGACCTAAAAAAATACGTTTTCGGCGTACGTTTGGTGAAACACAGATAACTGCTGATTTATTGCCAAGTAATCAGCTTCGTTGCAGTTGCGGATTATTTTAACCGTGGAGATCAGCAGGAAGAGAGGAACAAACAACTCAATAAGCAGGGTATTGTGGTCACTTAAACCAGTCACACAGTTAAAAGCTTTTATAAGTTCTGGAGAGTTAGTCAGAAGATAAAAAATGCTATCACCACGAGGGGGCCGATCAACAACTTGAATGAGGTTCACGCAGTTATCGAGAACATTCTTTGGCGTCATTCCACCCACTTGTGGTACAATTAACCGAGTGAATGTTAGAAAATTGAAGTCACCACATATTATAAAATGCGTTTTCGGGTAAAGGTCATGGATTAAAGCCAAACAGAGTACAGATTTCTATAATAATCAGAACCCCGATTTCACGCCCAATAACATGCTCCGATTATTGTTTGCCAAAATGCCAACTTAACGCAAACGGACACAGCCTCTAGGTCAGAACAAGGTCGAACACAAAATGAGGAAACACTTTTTTTTATTGCAATAAAAGTAAAACTGCGATTCACGAGAAGGAAATTTCGCAGTCGCGTTTCGGCGAAGATTCCGTTAGAATGACCATGCTTTTGTTTCTATCACAAAAGAATGCAGTTAATTTATCACGTATAGGCAAGTCGTCGCGTATATTAGTAAATGCAACAATGTAGTCCGTACATCTTAACTGCTTCGCGTGCGTAGCTGAGTGAAGGGGAGTGACGTTGGGAATCTTCTAAAGACTTCAACAACAGAGTCGCAAATACCGCCATATTTAGAGCACTTATCATTGATCTGCAGCGAATCAAAGCGCATTTTCAACACTCCATTCTGCGATCGAGGGAACAAAAACTTTCCAGCGAAGCGTACAGGCTAAAATTAGACTTCCCTTACGGCATAGTCAGAATCCTTTAATTTTAAGCCCGAAGAAATTTTCTTTCTGTCTTTGTAGCGCAGAAACTTGACAATGATGGGTCAATATGTATCGGGTGAAAACAGTCTAAGCATATGTGGCCGCTCTACGTCGTTCGGGTCGACCTTAATTTCCAGCTGTCCCTCACAAAAACTCAAATTTGTTGCCTCCAATTGACTCCAAGTTTCATTTTGCACGTCAGTAATACCAAAGAACAATAAGTTCATTCTCCGGAGTCTGCTAACGCACCTCGCGTTAGCTTTAGATATGTCCGAGGAAACTTTGATGGATACTTCCCGGGTTGCTTGTGCTCCCTTCCGAACACGTCCTCATGGAGTTCAGATCGGCTTCTATTGCCGCTACCCTTTTTTTGAGGCTTTATTGCCACATCAATTGATCATTGGGCTTTCTGAAACTTCTTAAATTGTGTAAGCATGTGACCTTGGCCCATCTCAATTCTAGTTCAGAATGTCGGCCACATAGGATCACTCACTGTCTGGACCGGGGTTGGTTTCAATGTCCCCGGACATTTGAAGAGTTAGTAGCGCGAAGTAAACAGCGTGAGCCCTCTGCACCAAGAACACAAACACGCAGCGGCGACACTCAAGAACGTCGTAAGGGCACGACAACGCGATCAAACGGATGTCACTACTCTGGTAGCAGCGAGAATCTGGAACGTAATCTACACAGCCTGGAAAACAAGGCCGTAGTGCTGACATTTTTGCGTCACCAGCAAAGGCCAACGTTGGACACAAACTGGAAACGAGTGCTGAATCAGCGCTCTGCTTCGAGGTAAGTTTGAGCCGAACGTTGACGAAATCGCCGTGTCTTATCTGCAACTAGCGTTGGCCTTTGTTGAAGACGACACCTCTATCAGTACTACGGCTTTGTTATCTAGTAGATGTTGAGGTAACCAACCTGAACGACGAAGAGAAGGGTTGACCTCGTTGTTTCTAATGCGATGCCGTCCCCCACTTGCCCACTGACTAGCGAGCTTAAAATGCCACAAGTTAAGATAGCCGTTTTGGCGACGTCCCCGGTTGCTAGACACCGTACACGTTGTCATCCAAGTTTGGTGACTCCACTGCGATGCCGTTTCCCGACTGGCCCCACTGACTAGCGAGCCTAAAATGCCATGCGTCCAGATAACCTTTTAGCGACGTCATCGGTTGCCAGACACCATACACGATGTCTTTTACGTTTGGTAGCTCGGTCGTTGTTACCACCGGGAAAGTAGTAGAGTCACTTCGCGTGACGATCCAAAGGTCGTCAGAATCCAGATGATTTCCACGAAGATGACCGTGCGACATTGATGCGTATGCAGCTGTCAGCATCACCTGAATGACAAAGTCAAAGGTTGACATCAGTGTTTCCGATGCGATACCGTAGACATGAAAACTATCTTGTATTGAGTAATACGATGTGACCGATCGCCAATATACGTATTTTAGTAAGTATAGTGACAGTTGAGGCACAAACACTAGCACAAAATGCTTACAGGCACCATTTTAACATTTTTACCTTGTGGTGTTGAAACTTTTTCTTTACAGGTATTGTTTCCGGACCTTTGTGCCAGCTCTTTGGAGCACCAGCGACACTAATTTCTGGTGCCATTATTACGGCGCTGGGAATGTTGGGAGCAAGCTTCACTAAAAGCATTCCTTTACTAACATTAACACTTGGTATCATTCATGGTAAGGACTGTTTGAAACTAATCACGTCAAAGAAAAATATCGTGAAATAAGTTCCCATTCTGAAAAAGTTATTCGTACATTATCGATAATAAACAATTAATTACAATCACAAACTATATTCAGACATCTTCATAAAAGATAAATACTATATTCGATTACTTCGCAATAAATGAAAATATGTAATTACTTCAGACGTAACAAATAATTTTCCTCAATATTTTAAAAGAAGCACGATTATTCTAATGTATCAACCTCTTCAATATTTCTAGGGAAGATGGACCTGTAATGTTTATTTGCTGTAGTGTTCTTACTTCTGCTTAATTTTGCCTCTTTGTGAAGGGTGAACGGAATCGGTCAAAAATATGTGATAGCTTTAGCGTTGCAGGAAGAGTGATTTGAGTTACCCTTTAGAGTTTTGCCGTTTCGGTGTGTTGCATTTAGTGGCGTATTTATCTTCAGGAGTGGTTTTGCCTACAGGCGGATTATTTGTTACAGCTTGAGATGGTGTTTATTTCCCTGATAATGCACCGACTGGCCACACTTCATATCTTACTCAAAATGATTATTGTACATATTCAAACCAGACGGTTTTATTTATTATGGTATACATTTGATAATTAAAAAAAAAGAAACTTCACAATAAGGCAATTGGTTGTTGCAGCCTCACTAACTCGTTTAACGGCATACATTTGTCAAAGCTACAGATGTTATCAAACGAACGAAGCATTCTGAATTACACTGCCCGCTTTTGACTGCAGTCGTGAGGCCGAATGAGTATTTAAAAAAAAATACAACGACATTGAGTACCGCTTGTTTGTATAGGTTATCCTATGAAAACGCCAAATGTTGTTAAAAAGCGACGAATAAATTTCTTTTTTTTTTTTAAGTGACAAAAACATCAGGGGCTTGGCTTCCAATTCCCCTGGAATAGATAGCGTCATCAAGTCGTTTTTAAGTCATAGAAAATGCATCCCCAACTATCGTGGACATCAACGCCTCGGCCAATTCACTAAAATTAAAATTTTAACTGGACAAGAACAAACATTGCAATGTTCCCGGAAATATTTTAGATTACAGTCATATTACATAAGTAAGCAGAGATTAAACTTTTGAACGCGTATAGTTTTTATTCCACGGCTCTACAAATGTTCTGCATTGATTCCTATGGGCGACATAAACAAAATATAACTTTGTTTTTTCTTGACAAAGGTCGTAATGTTTCCGACGACTGTAATGCCAGAGTATATTAAACCGCAAATCAATTAAAATTTAGATATTTTGTCTGAAAACTTTTTATTCCAGAGAATGGCCCAGAAACTTGGTCATGCTGCATATTTTAGCGCCTTTTCTTTGAATTTGGAAGCGAAATTGATCGGCGTGTATTTTCTTGCTGGCGGATTAGTTTTTCCAGTTTTTAAGTTCTAAAAGATTATATGGTTTACTGCAGTCGCTGTGTTGAAAAATATATTTTTGTTTTAAGCAGGGGGAAAGAGGGATTAGCGAGATTTACCACTATTAGAACTAATAGCGGGGACTAGTCCATATAAAAGATTGCTACTTATAGATGCAGCTAAGGGGATTGCGTTAACCTCCCAATGCGCTTTACCACGAGTTAACTGCTATAAATGTCATTTTCAGGCGCTGGCGCCGGAACTGTTTCGACAATGCTCCAGGTTTTCCTCAGCATGTACTTCGACAAGTACAGGGGCACCGCGCATGGGATCATGTTTGCAGGCGCCACAATGTCATCTTTTGTCTTCCCAATGCTCTTGTACTTCTTGAGAGAAACCTTCGACTTTCAATACTGCCTGCTAATTTTCGGGGCCATACTCCTGCATCTTGTTCCCATTAGCTTACTCTTCAAAAAACCACCGTGGGTACAAGAAGGCAAGAACCGCGAAAGCAAACTAATACCAGAATCGAGCTGCGCTACGACCATAACCATTGAGGGTAACCTAGAACGTGCCGGCGGCACTCGCATCAGCACAGGCGATGGCAAAGAGCAACCAGGAATCGGACGTAAAGCGCTAGCCATCCTCAAAATACCCATTTTCTATGCAATTCTCGTCACGTGGACAATCATGTGCTACAACGAGGACCTGTTTCTCACCACCATAGTGGACTTTGCGAAAGATCACGGAGCTTCCACGGCTACCGCTGTACCCTTAATATCCTACCTCTCCATAACCGATACGCTGGGTCGAATCTTTTTACCCCTGATAGCCGACAGAAAGCTGATGCGTCGAAGCACACTCGTGGCGTTAAATGCTCTTCTCACGGCCATTTCTGTTGGGCTACTGCCCCAAGCAACCACGAATGCAAGCCTCGTGGTTGTCACTCTGCTGGCTGCTTGTTTTAACGGATGCGGAATGACCATGTACGGCGTACTGCTCGCTGACTACATCGGCATTGATAACCTGCACATCAGCTACACCCTAGCTGGACTGACCTGTGGTCCTCTGCTCTTCCTGAAGCCCTTGCTTGTTGGTGAGGGAAATATATTTTCTTATAACCTATATAGCGCTTGCAAGTGAGGGCGAAGTTTACTTTGATGTGTTAATGTTTCACTTATCAGTTGTTTGCCTTAGTCCATCCATCATGATATTAGCACATATGACTTTTTGTTCATCTTTACGTAGAAAAAAATGAAAGACGTTTACAATACCCTGTAACGCCAATTTAGAGCGCAGCTCTTGAAGGGGAAGAGGGAAGGGTGCTCAGGGGAGGGTATACCCCCTCCCTCCTCCTCACCTCCTCATCTTGTCTGCTACTCATCCTCCTCCTCCCTCCTTGTCCTTCTTCCCTCCTCCTTCTTCACCTCCTCCTCCTCCTTCAATCTCCTCCCCTCATCCCCTCCTTCTCCCTCCTACTCCCCTCCTCCTCGCCGCTCAAGCCGGAAACCGCCGCTTAAGAGCTGTGCTTTAAAATATAGAATCAGAACAAATATTTTTGGCAGGTTGACATTTTATTGATTGGGGAAAAACCGTGGTGTATATTGGAAACTGCGTTGCATATCTAGCCAAGTATTACGCCCATAACGTACACGTGACCTCACGTGACCTCATGATTACGCCGACGGCGATGGCGACGCCTACGCCGCTCAATCCGGAAACGGGCGCCTAAGAGCTGTGCTTTAAGAGGCTTTCAAGAAAACTGGTCTTGCATTTGAAATACCGAAGACATTTGCGTTTTTAAGGAGGACATTTTCGCTTCTAAATCGCCGAGCTGTGATCCAGACACTGCAGAACGTACCTAAGCTCTTGCGTAAATCAAGGAGCCAAAATGTGGATTGTTAAATACGTAATAGTGTAAAAGCCAGTATATATCGACGTCAGTTCCGTGAGATTGGGCACGCCATTATAGAGTTCCAGCAGTCGGGTGCAGTATGACAAAAATATACCTACCGCCAGCAATCGATGACTCCTCTGTGGCATACATTTTGTGTTCTATATGTGGTTTATTATGAGGCATTAGACTACGAATATGATAAATACATTCATCAGTTTCATCTATCTAACATTACGGAGAAGTGAAAAAACTTCTATTAAGAAATCAAGCCACCAAAGCTCAAAGCAACAAACTTAGTTTAATAAATTCGCCATGAAACGATGGCTCCTTATAATCATGTCACATGTTATACCACTTCGAAATTAAATTAAATTATTACTTATTTTTGGCCGTATTATCCAGTAAATTTTGTATCAATAATTATTCCAAGAAGTATTTCATAACGAATGGTTCTATTTTGTAATGCTGGAACTCTGATTGCCAAAGCGCGGATAAAATAAAACGCGATTTCTTATGCACTCTGAACAGATGTATGTAACTGTTTCTTTCTTCTTTTTTTTTGCGAAACAGAAATAGCCTATCGTGCCACCTTGAATATTTAAATCGCTTACAGGCGCTCTTGTGGAGTCTTCGTTATGTCTCAATGGCAGGATACTTCTTTAAAAATGTTCTACGTTGGAACTTTTTTACGTTGATTTTGTGGTGCCGTGACAAGAGTCTGATCCTTGTGGCACTGCTCTGGGACAAAGTGTTCGGGGGTCTTGAAACAGTCTTAATGGCTGTCCAATCAGGACGCCCCTGACGCCATTCCATGACATAGCATTGGCATAGGCCGTAGAAGTTGCTCTGCACACGTCCTTTTTAATTTTGGACATCAACATCGCAGACAGTATAATTTTTCTCCTCGCCTCCTCACTCCTCGGAGGCCATGACGACAGCAATCAGAGGGTGCGAGTGGCTGTCCGCGTCCACTTTATCAGCACGCTGTAAGACTCTGTCCAAGGACGCAAGAAAAAGAAAGTACCCCCCCCCCCCCCCGAAGAAGAACGTATAAGGGACGACCTGAGTGCGGCGTAACCTATGCGTTTAGGAAACAATCCATTTGATATGAGGAAACTAGCCATCTAATGTGTCCTGTTTGAACTGCCACTTACGCCTTCTACTTGGGCTCAAAGGCTACTGGAGAGTATGTTTCAGGATCAAAATATTTTTTGCTGAACAAAATAAAATTTGTAGGGATACCTAAGTAATTCTCAAACATTTTTATAAAGTTTTTTTCATTCCTCAGATGCAGTGCGGCGAGTGGACTCAATTTGTTCTTAGAATTTTAAAAATTCGTCCAGAAACGACAAAGTTTCGAGGCAATGACAAAAATGTAAAACGCTCACTTTTACTTCACCGGGGACGGGACGCACACACAGAATAGCTACTTGTCCTTGCAGGCGATGACGTCGTTATTACGTTTCAGTTTCACATTTGCCTTATATCTGTTACATGCTGTGCTCTTTCATGCTGTGCTCTAGAATACCTTAACGTCAATAGCGATTTCCGGTACACTTGCATCTCTTTGTGACTAATTTTGTTTCCATCGTCAGTGCGTTGCCTTGTAAACGCATACATAGAACATCAATTTTGCTTTATTTTCAGGGTACTTTCGGGATCAGCTTGGCTCGTATGACAACATGTACCGAATGCTGGCGGCATTTCAAGTGTTTCTGTTTTTCCTATGGATCGCCGTGTCTTATTCAGAGCGCAGACGCGCTAAAGCCAAGGCTTCTAACATCGAGGAAATTCTTCAATATGCTCCAAGAAGAAAGAGCTCAAAAATAACCACGAATTTGGGAAGTGAAACTGATCGAATACCAAAGCATGGTGCGGAATGCTTGGCACATCGGACTATCTGTGATTCATTAGACAAAGGTATCCAGACTCTTTGTGCACAAGGTGTTGGTTCTCCATCTACCACATTTGCAAAACTTTAGAATTGTGCAACTGAGGTCAAGAGTCTTCGATCTATTAGACCCTGTGCAGCAGCATAGCGGACCGGGTACCTTTTAAATATGCCCAAAAGTGTATTCAAGAAAACGCAATGAATTGATTACTTGTGATGAAATATCCATTTTCATGGCAGAGTGGATTAAAACAATTTCCTTAAATGAACCTTAGACGTCGGGACGAGGTGTGGTCTTTCGTGCTATCATAATATTTAAAAAAAAAAAAAAAAAAACTAAAGGATCAGTCAAGTGACTTGTTGATAACAGCAGAAAAACTGCTCGAATGGCCGGAGAGGGTCACTCGTGTGTCAGGCTGCCTCTGTTCTTGTCTTCGAGCATTATATGTTGTAAATGCGGAAGGACGCTGGTTAGTGTTGGCTAGAGTAACTCACAGCTCTATCATGTTATTGACGGCTCTCCTACATTCTACCTAAGGGAAAAGGAGGAGGAGAAAAGACAGCTGTGGTGATCAGGGAAGTGACCATACGATATCACAAGTCCACCAGTGCCAATAAAACTGTACCAGGCGTAGTGTCATATCAAACACTCTTGTTATTGCTGTCGTTGTAAGCTTTATACTTATTCTTTGTCTAAGTTTTTGTGGGGAAGTGAGATGCTGTTCTCTCCTTTGTGCCACGTGGGTTACTTGTGCGAGCAGTTTTCGTTCAGTCAAGTGATAAAGTTTATCCTTTTCCGTTGGTGACAACCATAGGATATTTGTATGAGCGTCAAATCAGTGTAAACGACCCTATATGCGGAAGCTGTCATGGTTGTTCCACTGCCTCGGCGTGAAAAATGACGTCAGCTGACGTTTGCTGGTGGTTCACGATTAGTCGCAACTAATGTAGCTTACTCAAATAAAAAAGGAGGACTAGAAATGTTGTATTCCACCTAAAGGCGAGGAAACGTATAGACTTTTGCATACATCACCTTCTGCGAGCTGCCATCTTTGTCCCCTAGAGCGTGGAGCACCTTCTGAGCATGCGCTGTTGATCTGCTGTGCGCTATATTAGACGCTGGGCATGAGTCCACAGCTCAGTCCCTCAGCATTTTTTCGCCCGGTATATACGTGATGCAAAGGTCTATACGTGGAGAGGGTCCGATGGCCCCGTACCTTATAAGGCAAAGAGAAATTAATCTCGCAACCTTTCCGATTGTACGCAAACAGGCTCTGTCAAGCAGCAGCCTTAGTGCTGTACTGATGCCAAGAATCACTGTTGGGAGGGATGTGATGTTAACTGCCCATGAAACTTCCCAACCAGTCTGCTGGACATGGAAGTTGGATGATGCGGCGTAGTCGAATAATGTTTAAGAAGTCGAAATACTTACACCAAGGTGGCTAGTCCCCGTGGTCGCGAAAAATTTTGCGACAGTACCGGCATACATACTTATAACGGAACGCACTTGAAATGTCTCTGGTGAAGTCAACATGCGGAGATATGCTCTCGAAGGCAACAAAAGACCAACGAGGTCAATACAATCCATCTGCGGGTTTTGCATTCATAAGGCTAATCACACAACTTGGAGTGTTTGTTTTTATTCAGGGTGTAGAACGGAAACCGTACAAAAACGTCGGATAATAACTATTTATTTTTACTGAACCCAATAAAACGCGAAACCGAAATCGAACGTTTAACATTCAACCCAGAGCTGCTAAATAAAGAAAAAAGTTAAAGGGTAGAAAAAAAACACACACACAAACAAGAAAATGTTTCATTTAAGGCCCAGCGTTAGAGTAACTTCGTTATTTTGAACAATGAATACTCGTATAATTAATCTCAAACAGCACATTAAACAAAAAAAACTTTTAAAAGAGAGCCCTTGTGTTTGACCCGGAGTGCTTTAAGCGAATCACGATGTTCACAGCTTTATCGAACTGTTAACAGGTGTGTTGTCCAATGGCACCTACCCCCCTACAGCTTCAGCGTAGTTCCGTCCTTTTGTGAAATATCTGATGATAGTTTAAAGCTTCAGTAACCAAATTGAAATGGTTTTCAACAACTTCTATCTTTTTAGTAGATGTATCTCAATCGTCTGACGTCACTTGGAACTTCCTGTGACCAGTCTCGAAATTTGGAATGACCTCTCGTCTGCCAGACTTGGAAAACAAATCCGTTCATACATTAACACCAAAATCATTCCAAAACATTATTCAATGTTTGGCCCGCTAATATTCAATGGTGTCACGAGTTTTATTCTTAGTGACAGCAATCCTGTTCAGAGTGAGTAAAAATAACGACCACATGACACTGACTTACAACATAAATTAAACTATTTAAGATTGAAAAATATAATCTAGAGAATATATTAGAAGAAAGAAAATACTCCAACAAGACTTGAAAACCACTAAAATTTCCGCCAACTGCAAAACGACTATTTCTCTCACTAGAAACACCAGAAAAACACGAAAGTTAGCTAGAAAACCGATAAATAGGCAACGCTGATTGAAGTTGAAGCGTAACAAAAGCACGCTCCCCTGTTTCGGCTAATGGCTTATTGGCACACTGTTTGGGGCAATGAGATGTTACCCACGTCTGCTTAGGCGGTTGGTGGCGCCTGGACAACTCTAACATTCGCTGCTGTTGCGTCAGAGGCGCGCAGTATCATACTTGGGCAGCAGCATGATTCTTCTTTATGTGTTTATTTCCACTAGGCACCCAGGTAGGGGCTTCAACAGTTAGCGTTTGCAACCACTGACTGTTATGGTTTTAAATCGTTGCGTTCCACCCCTGTTGCTCCCTCGAACAGAGTACTTACAGGTGGCAAAAATGAGTCAGCGTTCTATTATACAGATGCACCGCAGTTGTTGATTTGGAAACAACAATGTAACCCTGATGGAGCTAAACACAGTTCTCTATATGTAAATCGTATGAAGCCTCTACTGAACTTCCTCGGTCGGTAAAAGCGTGAGCCGCTGCTGTTGTCTGTGGTCTTACGTCAAGAGGGCCAAAAGTGACTTCGCGCCACCGATCGAGACTCGATGGCCTCTGAGTGAAATATACGCTTCACAACTTTGGCAGGACCTCAGAAAAGCCAATCACAAAAGCATTCGGGACACATCCTGCTTGCTGTTAAAAAACGATGCACACTCAAAGAGATCCTTCGTGCATCAGACACCCGATCATCTGGCATTGTTTATGTAATTTACTTGGGATGTCAGAGAGCGTAAAGCCTTGAACGATACGCATTCCACCAACCGAAAGCACGTGTTGCCTTCTGTAATCTGAATATGCATGCTACCTTGGAGCGGTGCTTTGCCATAACTCAATGGGGAAAGCTCCATGTCGCATACTACATACGATATTCAGGTTTCCTGATTACGTTCGGCATACATATATTGCACAAAAATATATCGACCCGTTATTTTTGCTTGCGGTCAGGATTCAAAACATTCAACAAGTAGATTACATTTGGCACAGAAGTTTTATTTGGTACAAGCTGGTACATCAGGTTTCGCGATTTTTAGAGGTACAGTGACTAGAATAATTAATTTTCTATTGCCGATCATTTGCATCTGGTGGCAAGGCAACCCAGACGGAAATTTGACATAACTTACCCGGGGTAGTCACATCATGGTGTTCATAAATCACGTGACTAATAGTAAAGCTGAACGTACTCCCATTCTAGGTGGGTTCACCCGTGCTTGGACACTCTCGCACGCTACATGTTATGCGGCAACTCTCCATCCTTATACCCGACCGGCTCATAGGACCCATATTCTACAGAAACCAGATTCCGACGGCATGAGCGATGCCTTTACTATACTCTTTTTCAGTTTAAAGGGATAATAAAATAAAAATATAAAATATGCCCCTCACCTTCAAAAGAATTTGTTCTTCACCTTCAAGAACTCTACTAGTGGCAATCGCACGTTTGTATTTTGAACGTGTGGTTGCAAAAGACCGCTTTCATCACTGCAAAAGACCGCTTTCATCGAGCGCTCGAAGAACAGCCATCGAAATGACAGCGGAGGTGACAAAGTGAGTCACCTCGCTACAAACTTCCCCTCTCCCCGCTCCCAGCGGGAGTCAAAATAGGTGCGGGGGAGGGGGGAAATTCGGTTTCGCCATGTTTTGCACGGAGCTCGCCCACACATGCCACCGGATGCAGTACTGCCGCGGAGCGGCGCCGCTTTTACGCGAAGGGGGACGTAACGACATTCAAAGTAGATTCGGGAACATCCACCAGGTGCAATCTGGTAGTCGGTTAATTCCTTTTAAATAAAGTTTCGGCGCCTCTTCGATCAAACAACGTGGTGTCTATGGCAATGTGGCCATATCATGGTTGACGTTTAAAATGTATGCACTAGAATTTCGTTGCAGTGCCCCTTTTTAAGACGAACCACAACCGGTGCTGCGGTCCGTCGCTGTCAATCAAGCTATCACGGCTAAACCGATCACGCATAGGACAGAAGAAGCACGAGTTCGCGGCGCTTTCGCAGCACCTGATTGGTTTGGCCCGACATAGCGAACAGGAAAAGGAGATGAGCGCCGTGATGACACACTTTTGGAGCAACTTGATCGACTCATTCGGGTTGGGGGCGTCTACTGCGCTCGTGCTTGGATGATACGGAGTATAGGGAGTGTTCACTGGTGGGCCAGAGCTGTGAGCGCGGCTGCTGAGCGCATGCTGTGACGTCCAGCTTCTGTGGTTCTTTTTACAACGTGCATTCCGCACGATCGAGATTGCCGGTCTTACCAGGCTACAAATGTGAGCACGTTCTGAGCATATACGCTCTCTAAACATCGCCCTCAACTATGGCGTCCAGTGAATACACCCTACACACTAAAAATTTCAACACCCATGTTCGTGCTAAAAGGGTGTTTTTCCGAGCTCACACCCTTCCTACACCATTTTTACATGATTTTTGAATATCCAAGGGTGTACGGAAAGGCCTACACCCTTCGTACATCCTTTTTACACCCAACGGCTACCGAAATCGTGTTAAGAGGGTGTTGCGGTGGTACACCCATGATTTCCGAGTCGTCGAACTCGGAAACCG